ACTGCTCATCTACACTATATAAGCAAGCAAATCAATGCCTTCAGGTGGAAAAGAAGTTGTAACAAATGAACTCATAAATATTACTTGAAATTAAAAATTGACTGTTTCAGAAATCTCTTCTTTAATAGGTTACACACCTTCAATGATAACTTCTTTTATTTATGAATTTCATAAAGGTCATAATAAATTGCTTCAGAAGTTCTTTAACAAAGCTGCAAATAATTAGTACAGCTCTTTTATGCTGATGGATTTTTATTGATGGTACACACTTTTTTCTGATAGAGTCCATCTGATTGTCGCCCAAATGGTATAGTGGTTAGGCTAGCTTACTGCGGTACCAGAGGGCCCAGGTTCGAATCCTGAAAAAGGTACGTATGTTTGTAAATATATATATAGTGTCAGTGCGGCATGGTGGCACTCTAAATATGTGCCAAACCAAGGAGACTCCTGGATTTTGATACTAAATAATAAGGTGTTAGCTTCCTTTGCATTTACAGACAAAGCAGAGCTTTTTAAAAATTTCTCGCTATCTTGCAAACTTAAGCTTGAATGTGTTATTCAGTAGTTTGTGAAGTTTTGTTTCCACCATTTTTTCTTTATTTTTAATTTTAGATTTTTATTTATTTTATATTAAGATTTACAAATGACATTATCATAACTAGATTTTCTTACATGTGATTCTTGACTTCATAATGGAGAATTTATATGTCATTCTTTAATGCCAAACTGCTTATCAGCGTTATATTTTCAAATTTTTCACAAAACTCTGTGAAAATTGTATTTATTCGGCGTGTTATTGTGTCTTTGCTTATCAGTGGTTTGCAAAACCATGATTTGTGCATTGTATGTATATATATATAATATATATATATATATATAATGTTGTATGAACTTAAATCCATTTAGTGCGAATACATACCACAAGTTTAACTGCCGAATGGCTGTAGCTATATTCATAAAATTGGTGTCTAAATATAATAAAGTGGGTATGTACTACTTGATGAGATAGCTGACAGTGCCACCTGGTGAAAAGTGACAGAGTTAGCCTCCCTATATAAAAAAAAAGAGAAAGAAATATGAGGAAAAGTTGAATTACTACAAAGTTGTATAGCATCATCGATTTAATACGAGAAGACACTTTGTGAATATGAATACCAAAAACAGAACGATGAAAACACACATTTGTTTCTTCGTGATTTCCAAAATTGTGACTTCGCGAAACTTGAACGAAAGGAGAAAAGATTCTCTTTCAGATGAAAAACATGCCCATATTGCGGCACAGTGATGTCACTTGTGATTCACAGTTAAGAGGACTGTGGTGCAAACCCCGCAGGGTGCATCCTTGTACTGACTGCCCTTACAAAGTAGACAACATACAGATCATGTGCAATCGTGTTGCAAACCACATCAACTCAATGCAACTTGAGCTTGACATGTGAATTTGTGTTTTATGCAAGTAGTGTATGAAACGTCACACCTGTTCACCTGAGACAGCTATAAAAGAGGTATTTCCTCATGGTTGTATGTTGAAGCTCATGGTCATGGAGCGATGGTTCTATTTGCGGTGAATATTATTGCAAGGCATGATCGGCAGCGCGGTTGCATCGGCAACATTTTCATGTAGGCCCACATCCTTCAGAGGAAACCATCCTACAGGTTATGAATTGTTTAAGGGACATAAGCTGCATGACTAGCCGACTTCGAACCAGCAGACCAGCTAAGGTAGGGTGAAAGATGTCTTATCCATATGGCCTTACATATCCAAACAGCAGCTCAAGAGAGAGAAGTGAAAACTGTAGCCCCTCAAAAAGTCGCTTTTGGAAAATCCTAAATTAGTTTGGTGCTCATCCATACCGACCAACACTTAATGGGGTATTACTGGACAGGGATTCCGAGAGAAGTTTTGCATGGTGCAACTTCATCATATACCAGATAGAGGTCCGGCGAACATTCTTGGCAGGTATAGTGTGGACGGATGAAGCATGTGTTTCGCGGAATGAAATGTACTAAACATAGATAGAACAGAACCCCCATTACTTGACACTGGACACTGATAAATAGGCAGAACCCCCATTACTGGACACTGAAAAATCCATCATGTTCTGCCGACGCTTGACATCAAATATGGTTTTCGATTAATGTTTGTTGTGAAATTTATAATAACAGGTTAATCGGCTGAATATTTTACTAGGGAACGTTAACGGCCGCATAATATTTAGAACTTCTGTAAGACATAATACCTGATTTTTGTTGAGAACCTGCCATTGCTTTAACTCCTGAATGGATGTTCCAGCATGCAGTCGCAGGTGAAGCAGTACCTGATGGAGGAAATCAGAGAATGAATAATTGGATACAGTGGTTTCGAAGAGCGGCCTTTACATTCACCTGACGTGACTCCAATGGACATTTTCTTGTGTGGGGACCACAAGCATTTCAGGACCTTCAACGTTATATTACAGATGCTTGTGCAAACGTATCATCCGCTATGCTACAATGTCCAACATGAAGTTCTAACAAGGGTCCAGATGTGCATTTTAGCTGATGGATAGAAGTGTAAAACATCGAAAATAAAGATAGCTTGTGATAACTAGTTTTTTTTTTTTTTTTAATTCTAAGATCGTTTCGTGACACAATTTCAAAAATCGCAAACAAACAAATACGCAGTTATAACATTCTTTTTTTAACACTAGGCCCACTAGGTGTCTTTTTGTACAAAATTTACGATAATGTACAACTTTATAATTCACTTTTTCTTCCTATCTCATATTGTTTTTTAGATAGGGACGCTAACTCCACTGCTTTCCACCTGGTGGTTTTTTATTTTGGTTTGTACATTTTTAACCACTTCGCGCCAGGTAGTGCAAACGCACGCTTATCACGGAGGCCAGCAGTGTCTTACGCGAGCGTCTGTCCAAGCCCGGGGGACTTTTTTTGCTATTAAGCCTAAATCCATGAAATTTCCGAAGTATCAACGCATTGTTTAATAATGCTCTATAGAGTATTTAAACAGTTTATGCTTTATAGATATTTTTATATATACTTTAATTACCTTATTTCTTGTTTAAAAGCATATTTTACACGTTTTATTTTCATTACTCACCATTTTATGACTTTTAACATTATACACCTGAAAACTAAATATATTACTTAAAATTCTCTTTTTGTATGAAAAATTTGAAAATGGGGATTTACACACAGTCCTACGTTACATTCCTTGCACTCATAATAACTCATTTGCCGTTTTGGAGGATTTTTCCGGGAATGTGAACAAACGAAGCATCGTCGTCTCATTTTCTTATCAGTCTCTTCTGAACAAAGTTTTGGAAAATGTGATAGTGATACTATGTAACATAGTATCCTAGTGACTCCACGTTACATAGTATCACTATCACTACTATCAATATCTGAAATATTTTGCATCATTTCTGCTATTTCATGCTCTGTTAAACATTTTCGACGCTTCAACATTGCAACCGTAAAAACAGAAAGAATTCACATCTAACAAGATCTAATTATTTTCTACATACTGAACTGCAAACCGAAATACCTAACATTTTAGCGAAAATAAAACTTCTCTACTTATAATAAACAACTACCACATGCGAATTTAAAGAGACGTCGTAAAGCATGCCATTCGGAAAGATTTATTTCCCCTTTTGTTTATATAATCAAAAACATGTGTATGTGAGTCATGCTTCTCTCATTTCGAGTAGAAAGTCTAATGTACATGTATCTGAAACCATATGGACATACAGTGCCATCTTGTGGCAGAAATTACAGTTTTTAAAACGTTCCAGGACACTGGCACAAATACGTGACAGTCAGGGCTGAACGGGAAAACGCTCTGGCACGCCTGCGTGTCGGCCGGGAAGTGAGTGTGGTCATTGCTGGCACATAGACGTGACAGTCGGCGCGAAGGGGTTAAAGCATTGCTACCAGGATATTTTTCAAACGAAAAGTTTTTGTAGTAGGCCAGGGTTTTTATTTATTTTTTTAATGTATGTTGCTTGTGATTGCAAAGCATTTGTAGTAAAATTCATCATTATGAAAATGAAAAAAAATTGTACAATAGTATACTTTTTATTAAGTTGAGAGAGTCATCACACATATAACATTAATAAATAATTATTATTTTTCAAGTTTGATAGTTAATTGATATGGCACTCTTAAATTAATCATGAGGGTAGGAAGTAATTTTTTTGATAGATAAATAGTAAAATTTCATGAGAAGTTTCCTACTGAGATTTTGTGCTACTAATTTCATGGACAAGAATTTGCCATTGCACTTAGTAACAGAGATAGTTGGTATTAACTAAAGCATTATATGAAGCATTTTAAAATTTGTAAACCAGTCAAATTAGATAAATAGTAAAATTCCATGAGAAGTTTCCTACTGGGATTTTGTGCTACTAATTTCATGGAGAAGAATTTGCCTTTGCACTTAGTAACACAGATAGTTGGTATTAACTAAAGCATTATATGAAGCATTTTAAAATTTGTAATTTTTATTTGTAAAGCAGTCAAATTCTGGCCATTCAATATCAAGAACAAGGTATTTTCACATGAATGGCAATTTGATGCAATATATTGTACTTACACAGCTTCATTAAGTAGCATGTTTTTAATTACAAACTTGTTTTACATCTGAATTGTTTCCCTATAATCGATGCATTGAAAGGCAAGTTTATGTCAATTTGGTGAATTACCTTGTTTTAAGTCTTAAAGGCTCAGAGTTCTTGTATAGATTTTAACAGTGTATTGTTCCTGTAAATTTAAGTGGAAAGTAATGTTTAAATTATTTCATCATTTAAAAAATTAACAATTATTGTAGGAACTCTCTTATTCTTGTGGGAGATATGGTAAAATTATAACTCTTAATTATTATCCATATTATCAAGTCATGTTCGGTTAAGCTGTTTGGAATCCGTCTTTTGTTAAATAATTTTAGATAAAAATGTTTTCGTATAAAAATTTATTATCTAGCATATTTTGTGTTGCAGGAAACCTTTGATTCAGTGTGTTGAAAAACAGTTATTAGGTGAACATTTGAGCACTATTCTACAGAAGGGACTTGATCAGCTGTTAGATGAAAATAGATTAAATGACCTTTCTCTGACTTACAGTTTATTTTCTAGAGTTAAGGAAGGTCTTCCTCAATTGTGTTCTTATTTTAACAACTACATAAAGGTAAGAATTGAAGTTTATGGCATAAAACATGAATTTAATTAATGTAATTATTAGTCATATTTCAGAGCATGTTGTTATTGTCATAGAATTTGGATTATTGTTTTCATGTTCTTTTAATAAGCATGGAGAGAAGAAATGTGTGCATGAATATTTCTTCACCAGCGACAAAAGCATAAATGTGCATTCTCATACACAATAAAAAAGTTACAAAAACTCTTTTAGTAAATTTTTGAGGTACATGCCTTTAATCACATTGCTATAACTATTAAACTGATTTTAATAAAAATTTTGTATGCAGAGAAAAATACTGCGTAATGACATGAATCTTAAAAATTTGTTTTGTGGTTTAAACAAAGTTATGATTTATAGTAGTCTTGGAATTAATGTTCAAAAGTTGCACTAATTTTTATTGTTCTTTTGTATTCTTTCTTTATAGTATCTTCAATAATTTTTCAAAATCTGCGTGATTAATTAGTTTGTTTTTATAAGCTATGTTTGATTCTCTGGTAACATTTTGTTTGTGGAAATCTTTCAGTTCAATTTAAAAAAAAAAAAAAAAAAAAGCTCATTTTTCATTTTAGTTTATGACACCCACAAATCATGGCTAATGAACTTTAAGTTTTGTGTTTAACACAAGATTTGAACAGTTGTTAAAAGTACTTAAAAAGTCCCCCCCTTTTTTTTTAATCCAAAATTTGTCACAGTAGTATTTATATTATTTTTAATATTAACATTTATTGAAAGTAGCATCATGATGCTAATGTGCTCTTTATGTAATGAGTTTTCTAGAATAAATTTTCATAGAAAAACTATACTGCTGGCATTAAAGTTCTTTGCTGTCTCTCATTGATTTAAACTACACTCTTACTACTCCTACTTTGTCATAACAAGCTTCCCTAAATCCACTAATTGAGCATGAACAGTGACATAATTTCTGAGACTTGCAATTGCATTAATGCTTTTTGGAATCACATCCAAAGAAAAAAAAGGTGATTAAAAATGAAGTGTACTGTATTATTAGTTATTGTTCCATTTTTCTTAAATAAAATTTTACATTGAAGGAGGCACATGAATTGAAGCTTTTTGTATTGTATACACATTCGCTTGCTTGGGAACTGTACAGATAGTTTCATTTATAGTTATTTCTGAAGCAGATTAGTTAAAGTATTAAACAAATTGGCTCATTAGTTTGTCTCTGTCTTTTTTGATTAGAATGTAAATATATATGGCAAGATATAATTTTTAAAATTATTCTACTGTTTGTAGTGAAACAATAAAATACTTTTTTTAGTTTTAGAGAGTAAAAAATGAGTTAAACATTTTGTGTATTTTGTGGATATCTTTAAGACAAACTGTTCTAGCTAATTCTAATATAATTTATTTTTAGGCCAAAAATATCTCTTAAAAAGTTTAATTTTGTTCCATTGATTCTAACGGGATTGTTATGGAAATGTATTTAAAAGATATGCTTCATACTAAAGAAACTTTAACAAATACAGTTTCAGAAAGATTTAAATGTAAAGAAAGAAAAACTGGTGAGTACAAAGAACTGTTGATTTAAGATTATGTAAAATAAACTTCGAAATTTGTTAGACTGTGAATGGAAAACTTGTTCGTTGCTGTGAATAAAAATGAGTGGTAAACACCTGGCATATTTGCAAAATTTAACACATGGAAGTTTCCTAAGCTAATTTATTAGTGGAAATAAAAGTAAAGCCAAAATATGGCGCATCATTAAATCTTGTAAATTATAAAATTATGCAGATATTGTCAGGAAGTACTTTTCTATTAGCAGATCCTGCTTCAGAGCATTTAAGTTTCCTGCTTCAGAGCTTGACTAAAAAGTTAGAAAGATGCGTAAGTCTTGAGAGATTTCTCCTTTTAAAGAGCAGGTGTTCTGTGCATTGGAAAGGTAGAATGCTTCTGTGAAACATTTTATATACTAAAATGTCACGAAGAAAAGAAGTAGTTAAGTCATAAAAGAAACATGTATTTTTAGAGAAAACAGTGTTCTCAAGGCCTGTGTAAAGAAACTTACCTAAAGTGATAGAAGGAAGAATCACCAAATGATAGAAAAAACTTATGAAACAAGGTTTCACCTTCCAAAATTGGGAAACCAGCAATTATTTAGACCGATACTTTTATTTATTTATACAGTTTGTAACGAGCAATTAAAACATCTTGCAAAATTGCCTTAAATCTGTATGACAGTTGTTGCATTTTTCTTTGGTTATTGTATAACTCAAGGGGTAAGTGATATTTATTTATTGATTTTTGAATAAAAGCAACAATTTCTTGCACACTTTGTTGAAAATCAAAATAGCTACAGTAAAAGCTTGACTAAAAAGTTAAAATTAGACTGAAATTCAAAATAATATTTTTATTTTTCTCTGCATCAACTAAATTCATTCCTCACCAAAGTATGTTAAGCATTCCCTTTCCCTTTTTTAATAGTAAGTAGATCATCTGATTTTCCTCTTTAAACAACTTTTTTTCCCCCCCCCAGAAAAGGGGACGTGTTATAGTTTGCAATCCAGAGAAAGATAAGACTATGGTTCAAGAACTCCTAGAATTTAAAGATCAGATGGATACTGTTATAAATCAGTGTTTTAAGAAAAACATAAAATTCATACATTCCCTAAAAGAAGCATTTGAATATTTTGTAAATCAGCGCCCTAACAAGCCAGCAGAATTGATAGGTAAGGTATAATCTTGCATCTGATTCAATTTATTTTTATAAATTAGGAATATTTTATATGAATTTTTGAAATTCTATTTTTAGCAAAATTTGTGGATTCAAAACTTCGGGCTGGAAATAAGGTAAACACGTTTTTCATCTTTAATTTTTTATACCTTTAGTTTTATCTTTTTTAAATCTCAGTTCCTGAATTATATAGGAGCTATTTGAAACACACAGGTCACATACAGGTTTTATCCAATACCTAAAAATGTATAATCTTCGGCAAATTATTATGGATTTCTGAGAAACTTGTTTCTTAGTACATATTGCTGTGATTAAGTGATTTCTTTTAACCGCATGTTTCCAAACAAAAGCCTTATGTTGAGTTATATTTTAAGCTACATTAATAAATTTTAGTATTTATTATGACACTCTTTGGATTTGAATAATCCTGTATCCATTTGGGCATTCTGTCTCTAAAGTCTTTCCAGTGCTGCTGTAAGGCTTTGTTATTTTCTCATGTTGTATGGGAGTTAATCTATATTTTCTGTTTCTTTTTCAGGAATTTTGTTTTTGAAAGCATTGCATATTTTTTTAATGGACTTCATATTGGGGCTTTCTTGATGCTAAGCCTAGCACTTTGCAGTTTCTATTTCTTTTCATGGCTTGGGTTTTATTTTTGAAAGTATTCTATATTTTTTAATGGAGTTCATATCAGGACTTTTTCCATGCCAAGCTGACATATGGAAGTGCTTTAGAAATAAAATATGTTCATGATTCTGAATATATGGCAAAGGGTCTTGTAGACAAATTGCATCTGGAAAAGGTTTTACGAGATCTCGTATTTTGTGAATGCACATCCCCTTTAATTATTTTGATACGTTTGCTACACTAAACAGATATGCAGCTGAAAATAATTGATGGATGGTGCTTTGCATCAGTAAAAATGCAATTCCATCTCCTTGCCTGTTAAATGTTAAAACAAAATTAACTTTCCTAAAACAAAAAAAAAAAAAAATGAATATAGTTTATTTATTTATGTGATTAAAAATGTATTGGTACTTACATTTATTAAATAAAATGTTACAAATTTAATTCATTTAAAAATTTGTTTGTGAAATGCAGCTGAAAAAATATTTTTAAATTTTGCTGTCGGTGATAGACAAAAACCATAATATTTTATGCAAATTTTTTAGTTTACAAGTATGTATGGTACAAAGATCAAGATCTGGACGTCCAGTATCCGGAATGATTTAAAATCTAGTCTTCAAATTCACCACCAACTTTTTTTAATTTATTTTTTATTTTTTTATGCTTTACGCATGTGCATTTGATTTCCCCCATTTCCACGCATAATAAAACATGTGGATAGTCCCGATTCTTGATTTCACTTCAGCACTGAATAAAATACATCATTATTGAAGAAAAAATCATTGTAGAATTAATTTGTATGATCAATAATTTGGCTTCATTGCTGCCTATCTGCATGGCATACATCTCAAACCAAAACATTCTACATAGATACGTCATTGATTCTACATCTGCTAATATTTTATATCCCTGATGCCAACCTGGGGAATCATTAGTTATTATATTTTGCTTTCATCGCCGCATGTTTATCAATACACGACAACTTGAGTAATGACTCATATAGCAATGCCTAAACATTTTTTATGTTAATAATTTAATAACAAAGAGTATGATAACCTTTTATGTTGACATTACACTTGGCAATGATTACAGATTAAGTTAAATGTGCTAAGAAATGTTGACGAGGAAACATCTAACAAAAAATTTCTTTCCATAGGCTAAAAAAAGATTTTGTTAATGATACTTATAGACCAATAGATTACATTTAGTGCTATTTGAATTAAGAATAACTGATTTGTTATTCACATAAACCCAGAACCTGGGCTCATATGGCTACACCGGGTGGCAGAATTCAGGGAAGACAAGGAAAGGCACTTGGTGGGAAAATTTAGGATTCTCAAAGACTGCATCAGGCGGTAAGATATCTAGTGCCAGCCCTTAATAAGCCTTAAGTATATGTTGGAAATTATTTATTCAGGACTTGAATAAGCCTTAAGCATGTGCAAGAAATAGACATAAGTATAATAAATAACTAAACTAATTCAATTCAGACTTAATTGTCTCAGTGCGCAATAGAAGCAAGATAAAATTTAGTGGAACAACTTGTCGTTAGTCGCCATTCTCATGACACATAGCCAAATATGTATAGTGAATGATAGCTAAATTTTATGATGATACCCATGAATGTTAAAGGTTTATGGATATCACAGACCAAAGGCAAAATTTTCCAATTAACAGATTTTGTAAAGAAATGTGGAAAAGTGGTAATAAATGAAAATGATATAACAAAAGTTTTTCATTGGGATGACAATGCTTCTCAATCATCAATCAATTAATGATGGCGAAATCTGTAGTACAATTCTAGATCCGGAAAATACTGCTACCCACAGTGAAGAAAGTGACAGAGAGGTTGCTGAAAACGAAAAAAAAAAAAAAATTGATTGACAAGTTCGAATTCTCAGCACAACACTTACAGGACTTAAACGATGTAACTGAACAAGAAATTATGTCTGTCTACAGAATTAAAGAGATTAAACAACTTACATTGAAAGAAATGTTTAATAAAGTAAACAAATAAATATTAAACATTTTTTGTAGACTTTGATAACCTTTGGATCATAAATGCTTCATTATTTCATACATCACTATTTCATATTTTTATAATTTCTACATACCATCTTACTAGATTTAAACTGATGATCTAATATTCAGAAATATCCCAAATCCAGATTCGTGGATGTTCCGATGAGTCTGGATCTCGGACTTTGTACTGTATTTGTTTGAATTAAATCTATAATATTTTCAACTGGTTGTGCTAATCTTTTCCAGATTATTTTGTGAGATGCAATTTGTTAAAGGCGGATTTATATTTAATCAAATTTGCCTTTTTGCTTAAGAATTGTTGAAAGGATAAATCAGGTTCTCTGATATGCTGAATAAGGTTTATTTAACCCTTTGCTGCACAGAGTCAACCTTTGAAACCATCTGTTAAGAATTTTTTTTTTCTCATTTGTGCAGTGGTTTTATTGTATTAATGTTTTTAACACTCAAAAGAACCAAGAGATGGCAGTACAAAATTGAGCCCTTCTTTCTGTATTGATTTATACGTGGTTAAACTTCGGACAATCGAAGATAAAAAATTTCAATTTTTCTCACTAATTCCATAAAAAATGCATGTAGTACCCAAGTATAATTTATGAATCTTTTATTCACATATTATTTTAATTATAAAAATGCTAACATTGAGAGAAATCAGTAATAAATTTTGCATTTTTTTTTTTTTTTTTTTTTTTTTTTTTTTTTTTTTAATAATTTAACATGTGGTTTTGGTAGAAAACCACAACCCTCTTTGAGCTTAGATAACTTCTACATACTATTTTTGTTGAAAATACGAAGAAAGAATTTTTTTAATTTTACATTTTTAGTATTTACTTAGTATATTTATACATTTAGAATAACATCATATGAAATTTCCTCCTGAAATAAGATATTTTTAAATTATGGAGTTAATATTCAGAAATTATATTTTAATTAATATTTGACAAAAATCATAAATTATATGTATTATTGTGCTGTAAAAATCAGTGCTAAAAAGTTTGCAGATTTCATACTCTACAGTGGTTTCACTCCTAAACCACCACCCCACCTCCATTCCAAGGTGTGCAACGTTTTCTTTTTTAATACATTTCACATTTAGGAAGCTCAAAGGTACTAGTTATGAGTTAATTTCATTAAAGGCTGAAAAACTTTCAAGAATAGATAAGGAACTTGATAACATCAGAGTTATACAAAAATGGCACTACAGAATGCAGCCAACAGTTACAACCACTATAATCATTGAATTGGATTAACTGCATCCTTATTTATATTTATGTGTAGCTCACTGAATCCACCTCTCAGTCTCAATAGAGGTGAGCTAAAATGTTTTACATTTTAATTTATCAGTTGAATTAAAGCTACTAAATACAGGGTATGCAGCTACATCCGCAAGAAAAAGGACATATTTTATACTAGCAGTAAGCAGCTATAGTTTTTAAAGAGTAGGAGAGACATTAGGATCCACTGTGATACATTTTCAATTTGGAGAATGTCATCTTTAATTTATTTTAATTCATAATTCTTTTTCTTTCTTTAAATGATGCATAAATTCAAAAATGTGCATCATAGTTTTTAATATATGCCTAATGTGCCCATTGAGGTTTTGACAAAAAATGGAATTTCGATATCCTACCCCCTACCTTCCCACCTGACCATCATTCATCATGCTGGCAGGAATGTGTACTTTGATAATATGTGGGAGATGCATTTGACTGAAACTTGATTAGCCACTCAGGCCAATGGTCTAAAGCCTGTACTAAGCATAAGGGAGTTCGTATAAGGAGCAGTTGACAAGCCAGATCTCCAGACTGATAGTTATACCCATTATGGTCTGTGGCCACTGGGAATGGTAACCCAGACTGATCATTGTAGCAGTGGTAAGAAGAGAAATTTTTTCTTAAGTCCACCATCTCGGAGAATGTTGATCCCGTGGTGTGTGGCAAGATTGACATACTTCTACCCTGCCTGTAACTTTTGACTAGCAGACCCAACTCCTGCGTGATATGGAGGGTTTAATCTAGGCCATTCTGTGTAATTCCTGATCATGGCATGAATATAATTATTATTATCATCATCTCCTTCTGAAAAAAACTTGTTGGTACGTGTGAATTTGCAATTTGAGCAATGTGGCTCCTCAACTCTTCTATGCTGAATTTACATTGTTGTTGTGTACTAAGGTGGGAATTTTATACATATATGTTCAAATTAATTGTTAGCAAAGTGTTTTATGTAGTCATTGATGTGAAAAGAAAAAATTTCTTTTTATGAAGTGCTTAAAAAGTATGCGTAAAATGACAAAAATTAAAAGTTTTATTAAAATATGATTATTTAAGGATTCTATTTTCAGAAGGAACCACTGTGCAGTCTTCTGTCTGAGTAAATGCATTATAAAAGACTTGTAAAAATTCTTGGATATTTGTTAGAGGTATTAACTTGTATTTAATATTGCAAG